AACTATTTTTTAATGGGTCTCGGGTCTACCAAAGAGGATTTCCTCATATTATTGCCAGCGGAACCGAATAGAAAACCCGAGCTATATATTTCTTGCGTGGCTCTTTTGGTTTCCTAATTTTCGATTTGCTAATTATTTCTGTATTTTTGTTTCACTATTTATGCCTAAATTAATTGAAGGAAAAATAATAAACGCTGCCAATTTTGATTAAAATGATGACAGCGGGTGTTTTTTGGAATGTGTGTTTGCATAGCCATGGCTGGGGCATGTCTTGACTTGGCTTGGCGTTGGCTTAAATTATGCATTGAGGCCTACATTTTGGTAGTAGGTGGGTGCCACCTCCTCCTCCTACTACTCCTACTCCCCATGCACGAGGCAAATATTTTGAAATGCAATTTTTTTGGGGCCTCTAAAAGATGGTTATTTAAGTGTTTACGAGCTTAAATTACAAGAAAAATAAAGATTTTAAATTATAAAAGACTTTTCTATAAGTTGTTTTATACTTTTTTAAAAAAAATAAATCAAATAAAATAATAAATAAACAAAATATTTATAATTGTTATTCTATTATTTTCCTTTTATTATTATTATTAACATTTTAATATTAATTTTAATTTATTTTTATTATAGTTATTTTATTATATTATTATTATTTTATATTCTTTTTATTATTATTATTATAATTGTAATTTTACTATATTATTATTATTGTTATTTTATTATTATTTTCTTTTTATTATACAATTAACCTTTTTTATTTTGTTTTAATTATTTAATTTTTAAAAATATATAAAAGATCTAAATATTGCAGATTTATCTCTTGATATCTTTGAAATATCTCTCAAAAAATCCCCTTAAATATCTAAAGCATTTTCCCATCTCTTCTGTTTATCTTAATCTCTTTCTTTAGCGTTTCGCTATTTGCTCTACTGATTTATCGACAAATTTGAATGTTTATGTTTTGTTTTCCCTCTTTTTTTGCATTTTTTGCTTCCTTTTTTGTGCATTTATGGCAAGTTGCTTTTAGCTGTTGCGGTTTTTGGTTGGGCGATTTTCGAGCGCAGCAAACCAGCAGCTGCCATTTGGCAATAGTGTTGGCCCATTAGATATTACTCAGAAAATCAATAGCTAAATTAAACTAGCTAAAAGTGGAGTTAATATTAGAAATTGAAATATAGTTTATAATCCATCTTATGTTTTACCTAAAAATGAAAACAATAAACTATAAAGCTTTGTTATATATATAATTATATTTTTTTATTATTTTAATTTATAATTATATAACATATTTAATATATACATAATTTGTAATATAATTTTATTAATTAAAAAAAGTGTTTAAAATCAGTAGATATTTTGCAATTATATATTTATTTTTAAGTAATAATAAATAATATAAATACATAATAATAGTAATAAAAAATTGTTTAAATACAAGATTTTGAAATTGCTATTGCAATTTCTACTTTTTTTAATTTTTTTTATGTATTTTGCAATTTTTTATATTTCTTTTTAAATCGAATTTTCGAATTTTCTTAATATAATTAAATAAATTAAACAATATTCTAAAAGAAAAGTAATTTAAATTTGCTATTTTTTGGCGTTTTCTGTTTTTCATATTTTTTAAATTTAATATATTTATATTTTTGTATATTTTTATATATATTCTTAGCTAAATAAAATAATTAAATAAATTAAATTTAATTTTAAAACCTATATAAAAGCCTTAAAATAAAAGTTTACTGAAAAAAATCTTTTATTATTAATTATTTTTATTATTAAAAATTTAGAAATTACAAATAATTTAATTAAAATTTTTTTGTAATATCTAAAATATTTTTGCAAGCTTTTAAAAATCACTTAAACTATGAATAATTTTTTTTTAATTTTTATCAATTTTTTAGGGCTTCTTAATATATATATTTATTATTTTTTTGGCTCTAAAAAAGGTGACAACACCGACGAGTGTATAGTGTGGGAATCGACTTGGTGGTGGGGGGATATTTGGGCCTTCGGATAAATGGGAATCGAAGGCATGCACTGCCTATGCTAATTGAAGAGCTGCGAGTGAAGCCTCTCGCTGTGTGTGTGTGTGTGGTGTGTGTCTGGCCAATTAGGCCTAATTGCTGTCAAGTCAACAGTGAAAATGAAATGGAAATGAAAAGTGCCACAAATGAGCAGCAGCCGGACTTGGGGGACAGTGGAAAGCTCTGTGTCTCTTCGAGATGAGAGGATTGGAATGGGGGAAGGGGGGATGCGGGGAAGCGGGAACGGGAACTGGCTGCAAGTGGCGAAATGTCAACAGCAAAGATCGAAGAAATACCAAAGCTAAATACCAACTTTCCTGAGCTCTCCAAGAAGAGATCAGTGACTCTGGACTGGGGCTTTGTTTTGGTTTTGTTTAGTTTTTTTTGCGGAGTTTATGACCTAGTTTTATTTTTTTCACCATGAAATTGTAGAAAATGGGAGGGTTATATTATTAAATATTAGAGGATATGTTTTTGAGGGTTTTTTAATTAAATTTAAATGTTTTTGAAATGAATTTCAGGATTTTCTTTATTAATTTGAGCTTAAAGGTTAGATAAAATTTAAGATATAATATAGAATAGTCTCCTTCGAATTTTCTGTATTATTTTAAATATTAAAAAATAAAATATATAATTAAAATTGTACATTTAAGCGTCAATATTATATAGAATTAAATATTTTTCTTATATTATTATCTTTTATTTTTTTTAATATTTAAAATATTATTATGTTACTATTTTATTTATTTAAAATTGCACCTAACATGGACAAATATCAAACATGTATTATTATCCCTAAAAATATTCAAATATTTTGTAATTGTTCTGGTAATTATACACTTAAAGCCAGCTTTTTATATATATATATTTTTTGTTTTGCTGTTTTTTGTGGAATTTCTGGTCCTGTTTTTTGCTCCACTCCCCTAGATAAAAGCCAATTTGCAGCACTTGCACTTGGTAACAATTTGTGGCCATATCAGATGCCATTTCAACTAGTTTACCTCTAAGCAATATCGCGCATACGCCGCATGGTGCCGCCAAGTTAGAAAAAAATGCGACCCACCCAGGTTTTCAAGAAATATAATATACATAGAATATAGAATAGAAAACTAAGAGTATAAATAAAAATAAATTAAATATATAAATTACAATTATAAAACATAATAAATGAAATATATATAAAACTATAAAACTATATATATTAAAATATAAAAATTATATATAAAACTATAGAATATAAAAAAAAAAATTATAAAAATAATATATATAAATGTGTATATACACAACTTTATATAAAACTTTAAATAAAACAATATACAATAATATTTTTTTTAAATATATTTAAAAATATACATGAAACTACTTTTAAAATTTTATATAAAACTAACATAAAACAATATAAATAATTAAAAATAAAAATATAAATTAAATTCATTTAGTAAATAAAAACACAATATAAAAAACTATATAAAAATTTATAATTAAAATATAAGTTAAATTAATTAATTAAACAAAAACACAATATGAAAAAGTATATAAAAAACTATATATAAATCTATATAAAAAACTGTATAAAAAGCTGTAAAAAATACACTAAAGAAAGTTGTTTTAAAATTAATATTATAATCCACCTTTTATAAGGTTTTGCCTCTTTTTTTCAACCTTTTTCATTTGATTTTTGGCTTTAGTTTCGGTTTCGCTTTTTGTTTAATTGCCAAACAAAGCTATAAAAAATAAGAAACAAAAAAATAAAAAACAAACACAGGAAAAAAAAAAGAAAAAACCGGCCCCGCGTGAGGCAAATGTCAAGGTGTTCAATGAAAAGAACACTCGACAATGCCAGCTGGTTGACAAATGTTGATTGGCTTCAATTCTGGTTTAATTTCTGCCTTAAAGAACTACTTGAATATTGTACTTAAAGTTTTTTATATATTCTGGCACATTTGGCAGGCGATTATGCGACAAAATTGCGGCTTAAAAGATCAATCAAGGGATCAATTAAAGGGGACTTGCTGATCAATAGCCGGTTCAATCGGACGATTGATCGATCCAAAGCCTTTCGAAAGTGTGTGGGCCAAACAAAAGACTTGGGCAGCGAACCTGCTAGCCGGTGGCACTTTTGCAGTTTTTTTGTTTTATTTTTTTTTATATATTTCTTTCATTTTTGCTAGTCCTCCTTAAAAGGCGGAAACGTGAAACACTTAGAAAAATAAGTTTGAGATAGAAAATAACAACAATATAGTGAAATTTTTAATAAAGGAATTGCAAAGAAAATGCCTTTCGAAAAACTCTTTAAAAATCTTAAATATTTGATAATAGTGAATAAGAAATAAAAAAAAAACCTTAAAAGAATGTATAATAAAAATAAAAAATATATACAAATTTTTACTAAAGAAAATCTATATAAAACTAAAAGGCCAACAAAAAAAAGTGATTGTCTTCCAAGAAATCCTAAAAAAATTTAAAAAATTAATAATTAATAATTTAAAAATTTAAAAAATCTTAAATAATTAATTATAATAAATAAAACAGTTAAATTTTTAATAAAAAAAAATCGATACCAAAAAAAAAGACAAAGAAAATGCCTGAAAAATCCTTTAAAAATCTTAAAATATTTATAATTAATAATTAAAAATATATATAAAAAAACTTAAATAATTAATAATAATAAATAAATAAGTTAAATGTTTACTAAAATCTGTGCCAAACAACAGGCCAACAAAAATACCCGAAAAAATCATTAAAAAATCTTAAATAATTTATATAAATAAATAAAACATATAAAACCTTTGATAATAAATAATAATTAATAAATTATACAATATTTTTACCATAGAAAATCTATACCAAAGATAATGCCAAGGAAAAGAACTGTTTGCCTTCCGAAAAAACCCTTTAAAAAATCTTAAAAATTAATAATATTAAATATTAAATAATAAACTTATAAATACCTTCTCTTCTCGCATCCCTTAGCTTGTCAATGAGCCAGTGAGCCAGCACCTTTCCTCTGGAACCAACGCAGCCATGACAGAGACCAGCAATCACCAGCAATCGGTAGCCGCCGGAGGAGACTTCAATGGCCGCCACTCGGCCTCACCGGCTCGCACCATCGATTCGCATGACTCCACAACGGGGAGCCTGGACACCATTGTAGATCGCAGCCTAAATCGCGAGGAGCTGCTCCAAGTGGTGACCACCATTGAGCAGAGCACCAATACCACGAACAGCGGCAGTTTGACCAATTCACAAATCGGAATGCTGGAGAAGCAGCGGGAGGAGCACGATCAGGATCAGCAGTCGCGCCAGGATGCCCAGAGTCACATATATTCGAGTCCCGTTTACGATGAGAAGCCACCGGCTTTAAAGCTTCTCTCCGCTGCCTTGGATTTGGATACGGAAAAGACCAAGGCAGCGGCAGCGGCTGCCGGAGATCAGCCCAAAATGATATCCCATCAGGAGTTTAAGCAGCAGCTGGAGGAGGCCATGGCCACGCGACAACAGCAACAGCAGCCGGGCAGCCAGGCGGGGACACTGATGAAATCAAAGAGTGCCGCCAATACTTTGGATTCGCGTATAAGCCGGAAGCAGCGCTGTCCCCCGGAGTTTATCAAGTACAAGGGGGGAGCAGGCAGTGATGCCGGAGGCAGTGCCTCCACCATGTCGCTTTCGTCAAAGGATAGAAGACGTCGCAAGGCCAGCAATGAATGCTGTTCGGCTTTTCCTCTACAGATTGTGCTGGGTACACTGCAGCTTCTGCTGGCCATCAGTCTGGTGGCTTTGGGTTCCCTGCTGATTGTCCGGGAGGCGGCACTCTCAATGGCCGGTTGTGGCATCTGGACAGGGCTAACGGCGGCGGTGACGGGTTCCCTGGGCGTGGTGAGCATGCGCAAGACGCAGACAGCCTTTTTGGCCTTGAGTTTGGTTTGCATTGCCACCAGTACCCTGGCGTTGGCCATTTCTGGTGTGGGTTTATCCAGGGACCTCAACCGAATGGCAGAGCAGAAGGGCAACGATGAGCAGGTGAGGTTTTACAAGGTTTTTCTTTGTAATGAGGTTTTAATGAGGTTTTTCTCCAACAGTTTGTTTTGCTAACTACAAACAGCGAGGTTTCCGCCGCCTGTGGGCTGATTTTTGCTCTGTTCCTGCACTTTGTGGTCAGCATTGTATCCGTTTACAGATGCGCCTTGCAGATTTGCACCAAGTGAGTACATTTTCAATACATTTTCAAAGAAAAACTTAGTTTTCAATAAGAAATAAGTAAAATCTTTTCGAATAACTGTAAACACTTCCCGCTGGCACGATTTATCGATAAGTATTTGCTCTTAAAATCGAAAATCGGTATTTTGCCTAGGTATTTTCCTGTGTTTCTTTGGTATATTTCTGTCTTGGTCTTTGGTATATTTCTACTCTGGCTATGCGGCCACACTCGTTGGGAAAAATATCACAAAAAAAAAAAACAAAAAAAACAATTGTTTAATGTTTTTAAGTTGTGTAAATAATAGTGATAAGGAGACAGCTGTCTGTGTTAGTAACCCGAGAGCCACCAGTCGTGTGTGTGTGTCTGAGCAGCAACTATAAAAGCAAGGAGGACGTGGGCAAAGCGGAACAGAAGGAGGAAATCCGCCAGCAAAGAAGCAACAGCAGAGAGCGTGTGAGAGAGAGAGAGAGAGAGAGAGGGAGAGCGCGCGAGTGGGAGTATAGCGGAAGTGATAAAGCAAAGAGGAGAGGCCACAAGAGCGAGTGAGAGGGGGAGTGCCGAGAGCAAAGAGGAGCGAAAGAGAGGCAGCGACGGCAAAGTGGAGGCGTCGCTGGAGCAGCCACAAGACGCCAGCAGCGATTGGAGTCATGCCGCTGGCCGATTCCCAAAAGGATCTCCGCCAGCAGCCGCAGCAGCAGGAGACTTTGCAGCAGCATGAAAACCAGGAGATGCTGCAACAGCAGCAGCAGCAGCAACAGCAGCGCAGCTCTATGGGCCTCCAGCTACGCCAGCGCCTGCAGATCACCTCTTCCGGCTGCAGCAGTCTGGCGGTCACGCCCATGGAGCATACACCCACCGAGGACGATGAAAGCGGGGCAGGCAGCAACAACAACAACAACAATAACAATAACAATGCTGTGACCATGGTGACATCATCGCAGCGCCGACAACAACAGGTGCAGCAATCAGCCTTGCAGGCAGCCCTCGAGCAGCATCACATCTCCCCCAAACAAGAGCAAAGGAGCAGCAATCGAACACTCTGCTGTCCAGCTCCTCCTCCAGAGCTAATGGAGTTGAGCGACTCGGAATCGCAACAGGGAGGAGGAGCAGGTGGAGGAGCTGGAGCTGGAGCCACTGCTGAAGGCCTTGCCCTAGCCCTCGACGAGAACGAGTTCGAGCTGAAGGAGGTCATCAAAGAGGGCCATGACAAGGCCGATCCCTCCCAGTTTGAACTGTTGCGCGTTTTGGGCGAGGGCAGCTTTGGCAAGGTGTTTCTAGTGCGCAAAATAATAGGCAAGGATGCCGGGACTCTCTATGCCATGAAGGTACTCAAAAAGGCCACTTTGAAGGTCAAGGATCGTGTGCGTAGCACTAATGAGCGAAAGATCCTGGCAGATGTGGGTCATGCCTTTATTGTACGCCTTCATTATGCCTTTCAAACACCCGGAAAACTCTACCTTATACTGGATTTCCTGCGTGGCGGTGATTTATTTACCCGCTTGTCCAAGGAGGTCATGTTCACCGAGGAGGATGTCAAGTTTTATCTGGCAGAACTGGCTTTGGCCATGAATCATCTGCACACCTTGGGCATTATCTACAGGGATTTGAAACCGGAAAATATACTACTAGATGAGCATGGACACATAGCTCTTACAGATTTTGGCCTCTCCAAGCAGCCTTTGGATGGTTCCAAGACCTATAGCTTCTGTGGAACGGTGGAGTACATGGCTCCGGAAATAGTTAATCGCAAGGGACATGATTTTGCCGCCGATTGGTGGTCATTTGGTGTCTTGATGTATGAAATGTTGACGGGGAATTTACCATTTCATGGACAAACCCGCCAGGAGACAATGAATCAGATTTTGAGGAGCAAACTGGGCATGCCGGAGAATCTTTCACCGGAAGCGCAATCTTTACTAAGAGCTTTGTTCAAAAGGAATCCTTTGAATCGCTTGGGTGCCGGTGCCCAGGGTATATTGGACATAAAGGCTCATTGTTTCTTTGCCACCATCGATTGGGTGAGGCTGGAACGGAAGCAAGTGCGTCCACCGTTTATACCTGCTGTTAGCCGTGACGATGCCTTTTACTTTGATGTGGAATACACATCGAAATCACCGCGTGACTCACCTGGAGGACCCATATCCGCTTCGGCTCATGAAATCTTTCGAGGATTTAGCTTTGTGGCTCCGGTTTTGCTAGAGGGTCAGTGTCTAGCTTCCTCAAATCAATGCTCTAACAATGCGAGTCCTTTGCATCATCATAATATGGCTGGTAATCCTGGTAATCCTGTTGCTCCTGCTCCTCCTGCTTCTTCTGCTACGGCTGGAACTGCTCCTCCTCCTCGCAGTTTGCCTGGTGTTTTGCCTGGCAACTTTCACTCGGAGTATAATCTTCTCCAGGAACTCGGACGCGGCACCTTCTCTGTGTGCCGCCTATGCGAGCATCGCTCTTCCAAGAAACATTATGCCGTCAAGGTGATTGAAAAGGCTGCCGTGGCCGCTGCCTCTGCAGCCTCCACTTCGGCGGATTGTTGGGAGGAAGTGGAAATAATGCTGCGTTATGGCAATCATCCGAATATTGTAACCCTGTATTCGGTTTATGAGGATGCAGGCTCTGCCTATTTGGTAATGGAGCTATTGAAAGGCGGTGAGCTCTTGGATCGCATCTTGGCCGTGGGTCAGATGTGTGAGAGCGAGGCAAGCGCTGTCCTAAGAACCATAGCCTCGGCGGTGGCCTATCTCCATGAGCATGGGGTGGTGCATCGGGATCTGAAGCCCTCGAATATGATATATGCCAGCATGCGGCAGACACCGGAAACTTTGAAGCTATGCGATTTGGGTGAGTACTTAATCCAGGATCCTCTGGTTATTCCTTTCTAAAACAAAATCCTCAACCTGCCAGGCTTTGCCAAGCAACTGCGCGCCGACAATGGCCTACTGATGACACCCTGCTATACGGCCAACTTTGTGGCTCCGGAGGTGCTAAAACGTCAGGGTTATGACCTGGCCTGCGATATATGGTCTCTAGGCGTACTGCTCTACATCATGCTCTCTGGACGCACACCCTTTGCCAGCACACCCAATGACTCGCCCGATGTGATACTGAAAAGGATTGGCTCCGGTCACATCGATTTCGCCAGCAGTCGCTGGTCTTTGGTCAGTGCCCCGGCCAAGGAGTTGCTGCGTCAAATGCTGCACATTGTACCAGAGAATCGTCCCACGGCAGCACAGATTTTGGAGCATTCTTGGTTAAGAGAACAGTTTGAAAGTGGTGTTCAGTTAACGGAATATGCTGGTGCACAGTCGTCACAACTCTCGCTTGGAGCCCAACAGCAGCAACAGCAACACATTTCGATGGCTTTAAGGGGCGCCGTAGATGCCACATTTCGGGCTATAGCCATACCACAGGCGGCGAATGTGGGTCCGGTGGAGTTGTCCATGCTGGCCAAGCGTAGGGCCAAGGATCGGGCCCAATTACATTCGTAATTGTGGGTCAAGAGGCAGCTAAATCAATTACTTTTCCACAAATCCTTTGAAAGTATTTCGTTTTGTTTTTTTTTGGGACAATTTATTTATTTTATATACAAAAAGCATACCGAGAGATGCCAAGGCCAAAGCACAGAGCATCTATACATATATATACCTTTATATATATATATAAACTATAACTATAAAGATACAGATACCAATATATATAGCTATTTATATATATATATAGAAAAAAACTTGTTTAAAAAAACTCTCCCAGTATTTTTGTCGAGCTCGAAAATTAAGGCCCTCGCACCAAAGACCTTGTAGTAGTAGCAAGATGCGTAACGCCCATATTATAAGGTCTTTGCTAAAACACTCAAAAAAAACCTAAATATATATATATATAAAAAAAAATAAATAAATAAATATTTTTAATTAATTTAAATTGTAGCTAAAATTTTTCAACATCACCGTGTTATTGTTGTTTAACTAATTAAAAAAAAAAAAAAAATTAATAATTAATAATAATAAAAGAAAAATAATTAAAAATAATAATAATAAAAAAAATAAAAATAATTCATAATAATAAAAAAAAAGAAGAAATTAACAAAGAGTGGAAAAATATGAAAAAAAGGCAAAAACCACAAAAACCATAAAAAAACCTTTCCTTTATTATTATTAAAAAAACTAAAAAAAAAGCTTAAACTCTAAAAAACTCTTTAAAAAAGCAAGAAAAAGGAGCCAAAAAAAAAAAAATATATATATATATTAAAGAAAATTCTAGAATTAATAACATCTAAAAAACAAATAGAGAGTTTCCCACAAATTCTACTTGGAATGTCAATTTTGCACAAAATGAAAACAAAAAACTAGAAAGAAAGTAAACTAAACAATTGATAAATGATCAAGTTACAACTAACATATTGCATATTGTATATAGAAAAGCTTATATTTGATAGACAGTGCGTTTCGGTATGTTAAAGGCAGCTCAAATAAAAAGGGTTGACTGTACTCAACTTGGCTTAATTTTCAGTCAAGACGAGATTTTTAATCTAAAACTACTTTGAGCTTTTAAAAATCTAAAAAAAAATTCCAACAAGAGATTTTAAAGTGTCTATAATTTTTTTTTTGCAAAGTTTCCTGTTTTTAAATTAAAAAAAAAAATAATTTAATAAATATTACAATACATATTCATTAAAATTAAATTAATATTACTTTCTTCTGCCTACTTTTGGGCGAATTCCCAAGAGATTTTAAAGCGTCTATATTTGTTTTTTGTTAAATTTCTACTTTTAAAAATTCCAAAAAATTATTTAACAAATTCAACAAGTAGCTAATTTCCATATCTAACTAGTATTTAGCTTTAGTATATTGTTTTTTATAATTTTCAACTTTTTTATCTATTGTAAAGATGTTGCAACATGTTAAACATCGCAGAAACTCACTTCCATACTTTTTTAATCCCAACTTTACTAGTCTCTATATATTTTTGTTTTCTAAAAATAAACACCCCTCTTAAGCTGCCTTACACCTCTAAAACGCACTGTACTGATCACAAAGCAAGTTGTGACAACAAATTGGTTTCGCATTTCGTTCATCGCTGTCCGATGTCTTCCAACCAAAGTTGTATCGTTCGGCTCGCACTGAATTCGATTGGAGCCATTCCCCCCATACTATATACTATATATATATATATATATATACTCACTTCCGACTCCCGATATGACGTATATTTTACCTAAATGTCAGTGTATCTATTTGAATAATTATGCGAATTATGGGAGTGCAATTAAAAGCGAATTCTGAATTCCATGCGAGTATGTGTGCTAGCTTATAAATGTTTATGGGATATATATGAATATATATGCATGATCTGAGGATCTAACTACAAAAAAAAAAGAAAAAGAATGTGATTTTATAAGCAAAATTCTTCACTACTTCGTTTGCAATTCAATTTCGATTCCAACTAAAAAACTTGTTGAAAATTATACAAATAAATATTTAAAAAAAAATGATTAAAAAATACTAGTATATAATTAAGAGAATTATGATGTATGTATGCAGACAGTACGTTTCGGTACTGTAAATTCCAATTGTTTTTTTTTTTGATTCAAGCTATAAATGTACGTTAACTGAAGGGAAATTTCTCTAATATAAACTGTGTGTGTGTGTGCTGTGTGTGTATGCCTGTGTGTTTGTAATGCAAATTAAGATTTATGCGCTGTGCCACTACTGAACTTACTGCTAACAAGAAAAACAATAATAATTGCATAATATATAAAAAAAAATATATATATTATTATATACACAACTAGAAAATGTTAGTTAAACTTGCAAAATTTTTAAAGAAAAAAAATAATGTTGAAAGTGGGAAGGTATTAAGTGTATGATTGATCATCCAGCATCCAGACATTAGCTAGCTGAACGAGTAGAGAAAGTTTTGAAATAGGAAAAACGATGGAAATCTGATTTACTTGCTGAAATTTGGTTGAGAATTGGGGAATTTTTTTAGATTTTACTTAAATAAAATAATAATAAATTATAAATTGTAGCAAGATTTTAAATTACTAAAAATAATATACCTTATATATTTTTGCTGCCTACTTTTAAGCGAGTTTTCAAGAGATTTTAAAACATCTATATATTTTTTTTTAAATTTCCACTTTTAAAATTCAAAAAAAAACTATTATATAAATATTGCAATATATATTAATTTATATATAATTAATATAAATTTTTTGCTGCCTACTTTTGGACGAATTCTCAACAGATTTCAAAGCGTCTATATTTTTTTTTTTGTGAAATTTCCCCTTTTAAAATTCCAAAAAAATATTTAACAAATTCCGAAATATCAACAAATATTTCTTTTTGCCTAATTCAATTGCTTTGCCTGTCTCAGACCATATTTCAGCGAGTAAACGATTGAAAATATAAAAAAATACTTTGATTAATGAAAACGTACTAACGGTTTGTTATAAAATGCTGTGCACAAACAAATTCGACAGAGACAGACGACGGGGACGAGAAAACGAAGACCGAAAAGTAAAAAAAAACTAACCAAGATATTTGGAACATCCCCATCTCATGCATAATTCTCCTTAAAAGACGTACATTGTATATATGGAATGCTACATACAAATATTTTCTTAGTAGATTTTTACAGCTTCCAAAACTATATATACACAAATATATATTGAAGAAGAAAAACCGATGAAATAAAAAAAATTAACAAAATATACATATAAAAACAAATTGAAATTAAAATTGAAAATTATTGAAAAAAGAAACTAAAAAAAACTAAAATAAACCTAAACACGAAACCACTTTTATTGTAATCGAAATCGATTCGAAATTATTGTAAAGTTGAATCATAAAAATCACAAACTGGAAACAAAAAATCCAAAAGGAAAAACACAAAAAAAAATAAATAAAAATAAAAATTCAAAGTTAAAAATTATTTTTTATTAATATAATATTTAATAACTAATCGAATTGCATTTTATGATTTAATAGGCACTAAAAACTAAATGAATCATTTCTGGGGGCCACTCTTATCGCTGGGCTCTCTGGTCTGATTTAGATAAGGTCGCCATTCTTATCGAAATGAGATAAGGAAATGTGGGTTTAAGCAGCTTAAGTAATTCTAATTCGATAAGGGTAAAGTTATCTTTTTTTTATATATTTTGTATACCCTTTTACAGGGTATTATAAACCTATGGCAAACTGAAAGGGTACACAAATTTTCCTTCTTCTTGTTTTAATTTAATTAAATTTTTAATTTATTTACCTTTCATTGAGTTCTATTGTTAATTTAATTTGTAGATAAAATTTTTAAAAAATTTATTGGTATTTTAATTTTCTTTTAAAATGTTTATTTTCCATAGTCCAAACTTATGCTTTATTCGTTTTTAATGTGTTCATTTTAGGGTGTTCATTTTATGATGTTCATTTACTTTTAAAATGTTCACTTCCTTTGTGAATATTTATTTTCTACTTGTAAATTCTTCGCTTACCCACTTTATCACCTTCCCAAAATGAAATTTCCTTTTTCTACTTGAGTTTTTCTAGTTAACAATAATTGTTGTTTTTATTTAACGTTTATCGTTTCATCGTTTTGTTATTTTGCAGCTTAAAAATAATTATTTATTTCAGTTTTTTTGTTTTTTGTTTTGTTTTTGCGTTTCTATCAATTGGAATCATAAGTTTTCTTTTGATTTGTGTTAATTGAAACTTGTTGCCTGGATAAACCGAAGCTTTGTTCATTCCTTCTTATCATTTCGTTTGTGATTTGATTTGGATTAAAAGAAAAAAAATATATATAGAAATAAATACACTTATTGTACAATGCTTTCGTGTTCTCTGCTTTTGTTTCGGTTTGTAAGCAAGCAAACTGTGTGGAAACTTGAATGTTTTGAATTGGTTTTTTCTACAGTTTTTGAGTTTGTTGTTTAAAAAAATAGAGATGATTTCGGAATCTGTAATTTGTAACTTGAAATAATCGGTTTCGAGTAGGGCTGTGACTCTGCTTTTCCAGACAAATATACATATGTGTTTTAGGTATATTTATGGGGGAAAGACAGACCTACTCGAAATGCTCAAAATATATATATAAGTATATATATTTCTCTCTCTAAATATGTCTATTTACGGAAGGACATTCAGTCCTAGTGCTTGCCCTTGCCCTTGCGACCCTTTTGCTGTTGCCTCGTCGTCGTCGTCGTCGTAGCGGTCTCCTTGTCCTTATCCTCCTCCTTTTCCTGGCCTAAAAAATAAAAAAAGGAATTAATAAATTAGAAATCAGTTAAAATTTTAATTTGAATTTATTTTTAATATATTTTTGAATTTAAATTTATTTTAAAAATATTTTTAAATATTAATTTATTTTTAAAATAAATTAAAAAAACTTAAATTTAAATTCAATTTAATATATTTTAAAATTTAAAAATAATTTTTTAATTTAATTGTATTTTATAAATATTTTTAAATTTTAAATTTATATTAAATATGACTTTAAATTTATTTTAAAAATATTTATAAATTTAAATTTATTTTGAATATATTTTAAAAATTACATTTATTGTAAAATAAAATTAATTATTATATTTTTAAATTTAAATGTATTTTAAAAAATAAATTTTTAAATTTAAATTAATTTTTAATTAATTTAATTTAAAGTCTAAATTTTTTATTTTTAAAATATTTTAAAATTTTAATTTATTTTGAATATATTTATAAATTTAAATTAATTTTTAATACATTTTCAAATTAAAATAAAATAAAAAAAAAATATATATTTTTAAATGAAATTACCTGCGGCAGCTTCTGTATCCTCCAACTGCACCTGCTCCAGGGCGGGCGTTAGTTCCTCCACCGGAGTCTCTTCCCCCAACCTCTCCTCCGGCTTCTGTGAGCTCCTGGCCTCGTGGACAACCACCTCGCCTTCCTCCTCCTCCTCGTCGTGCACCACCGCCTCCTCCTCGACCACGTGCGCCTCCTCGGCAATGACGCCATTCAGCACATTGACCGCCTCCTGGGCCATATTGGCCTGTGCCTGCCGCCGTCTATGCTCCAGATCTCGCTTATAATTCTGCGTCCACTCCACATGCTCCTTGTAATACTGGCCAACGGGTATGACAATCACCGAGATGTCATCAACGGTGGCCGCCGCCTTGCTATCCGCCAGCCGCCAGTGACCCGAATCATTGATTTTACCCCTAGCCCGGGCCACCAGCTCCTGGGCCACCATTGTATAGCGATGCTTCTCCGTGGGATATTTGGAGAGCGTCTGGAAGACGGTCCTGGCCACCGACTCATTCTCCGAGACATCCCACAGCCCATCGGTGGCCATCACCAGGACACCATAATCACCATCACGATTATCCTCGTCGGGAATGCTTACCACCTGGGTGAGATCACGTTGCCGGACATCGGGATGGGGCGTAAGGAAGGGTTTAATCTGAATGCCCGTATTAATGGCCAGCAATTCATGATCACCAAAGCCACGAGTCACTCCCAGAGTGCCAAGCAGGCGACTCCTTTTGCCCTCGCCATTCACCACCGGCATGCAGAGATCATCCCGGGTGAGCGTCTTGTATGTCCAGCCACGCATGGTGCCTTGGCGGCATAGAATCCTTTGACCCATATCCTTGATATGCGGTCGCTTGGCATACTCCATGGCCACATAATAGTTACCCATCAGGTGGGGCTTTAGTCTGGCCACATTCAGCAGGCGTTCCCTCTCCGTTTCCGGTGTGTGATCCGCCGAAAAGGGCACTGGATAGCAGCTAGCCTCCAGGGGATCCGTCTCAATGCTAGAGTCTGTCGATGATGATGCAGGTTTTGCTTCCTTTTGATGCCTTCGCTGGCAGAGAACCGCCCGAGAATCCCCAGCATTTGCCACATACATTTTGCCATCAATGAAGAGGGAAACGCAGGCAGTGCAGCCACCAGCATCTCGATACCGATCACTGTCCTGCGCTATCAGCGAGTCCATGTTGAAGAAGGCGCTCTCCAGGGCACCAATGATTAGTTCATCCTTGGATACCCGCCGCTGGAAGTAGATGGGATGCGGGAATGTGGGATTTAGCTTGGTGCCATCGCCACCAGCAGAGGCATTGCCCTCTGAAGAGGTGTCGCGCGGCAGGAGGAGCTCCAGGCAATCCACTAGCTTCTCGTGCAGGATGTGATGGAACTGATGGGAGGCAGCCAGGGCGGCACCGTAGCCGGCATGGCCATCGAAGATGCCAAAGTATGTGTAGGGTAGATCCGGGTGCTTGTGCTCCGGATCGGAGAGGACTTGCCTGGGGGGAGAGGGAGAGAGAGAGAGAGAAGAGGGAGAAGGTTAGTTTATAATGCTTTTTTTTTTTTGATTTAAGCTTACAAAAACTACGCTTGTCGGTGTTTTTCTCCTTTTTGGGGGTCACAAAAACCAAAAATACACTTTTTTAATTTTAAAATCGATTAATCGATTTTTTTTCAATTATGATATAAATTGATATTAATCAAAATCGATTTATCTCACATATTTTAAATGAAATTAAATTTTAATTAAATTAAAATTCATTTCAAATTGATTTAAAATTCTATAATTCTTGTTAATCGATTAAGCGATTTTTTCAATTATGCAATAAATCGATATAAATCAGAATCGATTTAATAGAAAAGTTTTTGACGTATGTAAACTAGTGGAAAATTAAAAAACAAAGTTGAACATTTTTTAAATATTATTTTTAATAAAAATAAAAAATAATAAAATATGAAATAATAAAATACAAATAAAAAATAATAAAATACAAATAAAAAATATATAATAATAAATAAGAAAATAAAAACTAATAAAATATATAATAATAAATAATAAAATAAATTATTATTATTATGTTATTAATAAATGCTTTATTTATAATTATTATTTTTTTATTAAAAAAAAAACGTATTAATTTTTCTTCGATTACAATTATAACTATAAAAGGCCATAGCAATCAGATAAGCTCTAGAAATAAAGTGATTCATTTGCCTTGTAAAAAACTATATTTCCTGGTTCTATTGTTTATTTCTAATAGAAATGTCACTTGAAAACCTATAAAAAGCTAGACATTAATCATTTTTAATGGCCCCCAAACACACAACTATATATTTTTTGTACCCTTCAACTATTGATTTTTAAAAACCCGGGGAGTATCTAAAGCAACTAACTATGCTTTTGCTTTTGTTCTTTTGGGGACCCTAAGCAAAGTCTACTAAATCAAATTACTTATCTGGCGACAAGTGCAAACAATCATCATGCCAGCTCCCCTGAGATGTTTCAGCTTCCAAGAAGAACAAAAAAATTAAATAAATAAATGTAAACAGGCAAAACTCTCGAGGTTTTTAGGGTGACGCAATCTTTAGATAAAAATGAAACCTCCAAAATAAATCTATAATCATTTTTTAAAGAAATTATTGCGTTTTAGAGTTGAGAATTGAGAGAGGAAATGCATCAAATTTGATTATTGTAAACAAAAAACAACATAAACAAGCTAAACAAAGCGTAATCAGTTCGATTTAAGGCATTTATTTATAGGGAAAACTAAATTCTAAGAAAATAAAATAGGCATATTTAGGTTTTATGGCTGCCATCAGCAAATAAACACATTTTGTGGCATTATGACGAAACGTTTACAGTGCGATAAGCAATATTTTTATCATTTAATAGGGAACTATGCGTAGAGAAGGGGGTTTTTAGGAAATGAATTATAAAATGAACAAAATGATCAAGAGAATAGCAAAAGAAAATATAACATAAACAAAATGCAAGCTAAATTGCAGAATAAAAAAAGATTTGACATACATAATAAAATATAAAATAAATAAATTAGTGAATAAATCATAAAATGAACAGAATGAACAAAAAAATGAAATAAAAATATAAAAGATAAGGGATAAAAACCCTAAACAAAACAATAAAAAGGATTAACTTGACAGCGATTTTTGCAGAGTGAACAAAGTTAATAGAATGAAGTAGAGAAAATAATGTAAATGAATCACGAAATGAACAAAATGAACTAATAATTCAACAAAATGCAAGTGAATTGGTTTCCCCAATATAAACGAGCAACTCAGACCCCCCCAGAAGAGCATCCACACCTCCCATCCCCCCCAGTGCTTACCGGCAGAAGGCTCCCTGATCCTCGTTCCACTCCGATTTGCCCGAATTGACGCACTCGGCATAGCCAGTGCCCCACGGCAGCAGGTTAATGTCCCGCGGCACTATAATCGGTCGAACGTTGTGATCGGCCGAGGCGCGCAGCTCGTCGGGCGTTAGGAGTTGCAGGAATGGTGGTCGTGCGTAGGGGAACTTGTCCGGCATGGGTCCACCTCCTCCGCCACCACCTCCCCCACCGCCACCACCACCAAATCGCATCCGCTGGTGGCCGCTGTGATGGTGATGCCCGCCGCTACGCTCCCGCTCGAAGCTGCTGATGCCCGGCAGCGGTGGCAAGTCCGGTGCAATGGCCGAAATAAAACGTTCCTTAAAGTTGCTAAACATGTTTCCTGTTCTCCTTTTTGTCCTTTTTGGGGGTCCTTGGGCCTTGCTGCTGCTTCGCTCTCTCTCACTCTCACTCTCTCTGTCTCGCTCACTCCCACTGACGTGGCGAGCTTGCGTTTATGTTGTTGTTTGCCTCCTTTAACCGCCTGCCGCTGCTGGTGTTGTTGCACTTTCCTTGGGGAAGAGGTAGAGCTACGTGGTGATTATCGATCTGCCGATCTGCTAAGCTTAAGCTACGGTTATGGCCGAGTTGCTGGCTGATCGGCCTCAACTTAGCGGATATAGTTTTTTTTTTTTGCGTGTTTTTGCCGTTGTTAGAAAATAAATCGATTAGCAACCAGCAGTGTGGCCGTTTGGTGAAGTGCTGGAAAATACCAAAGCTGTGATTCGATTGTTCAGCAAAATACCATTAAGAAAATACTGTTTTTGGCCCGTTCTATTGAGCAAAATACCAAATTGTTGGTGGCTTATATTATTTTAGGTTTAAGTCTTGGCTAAACCGTTAGAATTTAAATTTAATTTTAATTATTTTGTTATTTTTATTACAGATCCCAGCACAGCGAGCTGCGTGATGTCATTATCAAGTCAAATGCCTCGGGCATTGCCTTGGATCAGCAAAAGGTGGACCAGTACATTAAGGCCATGTCTTTAAATGGCAGCGAAAAGGTTTGATTTTTGGAATTTTTATGGAATTTTTAAAGGTTTTTTTAGAGGTTTTTTTTTATACATTATTATAGATTTTTTTTTTGTTTTTTATTGATTTTTGATTGATTTTTATAGATTTTTCTTGATTTCTATTGATTTTTTTTAATTTATTGGTTGTATTGATTTTTTATTGTTTCTTTTTTTATTGATTTTTCTTAATTTTTCTTGATTTGTTTTGAATTTTTTTTATTTATTGTTTTTTTTTTTTTATTTTTTATTGTACTTTTAATTGATTTTTTATAAATTTTTCTTTATTTTTTCTGATTTTTATTGATTTTTCTATATTTGAATTCAATTTTATTGATTTGTTTTATGATATTTATTGAATTTTCCTGATTTTTATTGAATTTTATTGATTTTTATTGTTTTTTATTATATTTTTTGACTTCATAAAATAGGTAAATACCGAAAAGCTAGCAGCCATGTGGATGTATGCCACTCAAATGGGCAGCCTGCCGCCACCAACAATCCGAAAATTGACGCCTCCCTCCCGGCAAATCATGCTGATTCCCTCTACAGCAGGCAGTGGGGTGAGTTTTAAGACTTAGTTTTTTTTTTTAGAATTTTCGAGGTAATAATTAATATTTAATTAATATTATTCCCCACCAGCTGGCACCACCGCCACCCACACGAATGCCACCACAGCCACCGCCACCCGGCTCGGGTCCTGGATTATTACTCCCTGTGCCGCCGCCTTTGATGCCGGCTCAGTACCGGGGCATGACCCTGCCTTATATACGAGCTGGACCACCGGGAGCCCCTCCTGGCTTGATCTATGCCCATCCGGGCAGCTTGAGCGGCACCTATCGCACACACAAGAGCACCAAGTCGGCGGAGATGAACGGCCAAAGGCGACGTCGGCGTGCGGGCAAATCGGATGCCAATCGTCGGCAGCGTCGCAAATCGGAGGCGGATGTCCTGGATGGCGAGGGAGCACCGAATTTCCAATATACCGGACTGGATCGGGCCATAGCCGATAGCTTCTTGGCGCGCCAGGAGCAGTCGCAGGCGGGCAGCAGTCATGTGGATTATTCGTCGTCCGCCTCCTCGGAGCTGTACGGCGGTCAGAGGTCCTCCTCCAAGACCAAGATTGTCTGCAGGGATGTGGTCATGTGAAATGGAGGATGGGAAAAGTCGAAGATCAAGTCCAAGTCGCTTTTTTAAAGTCCAACGAACTAAACCTTCTCCTCTTACAGCTTTTGTACATAAATCTTTTCCTAAAAAAACAAAAAGTTATTAAAGTTCTCTGGATTTGCTTCCTTTTTTTTTGAGTCCCCTTTCAAAAAATGTATTTTCTATTACTACTTTTATTTCTATTTCTATTCCTATTTTTATTTTTATTTCTATTTTTATTTTTATTCCCAAATGAATATTAATTGTAAGACATTTATATATATGAATCGAATAAAGTTGTATTAAAAATATTATAATCATATTTTTTAATAGAGTTTTTGAAAAATGTAGCTGCTCTTTCTTTAATTGTTTGCTTATTGTTCATTCTTTAGTTCATTTTGTAAGTCATGTTTATCCCTGTGTTGTTCATTTTGTTGTTCATTCTGTTCTACCCTCTGCTATTTATTCTGTTGTTCACTGTTGTTTCTTTCTGTTATTTACCCTGCTGTTCTATTTGTTACTGAAACTGTTGTTCATTCTGTTGTTTACTCTGTACACTCTTGTGTTCACTTTGTTGTTACACTCTGTTCACTTTTACAAGAATTAATTTTAAATTAATATTTAAAAATATGACCTTACAAAGTTATATTTTTAAACAAGCTCCCAAATAATATATATTTTTAAAATTTAATTAAAAAACGAGGTATTTTTTAAAGATAGCCTTTATATAAAAGTAGTACAGTTTACGTCATATTTCAGCTGCTCTACACAACAAGTACTGCTCTCATAGGTAGTGCTTCTATAAAATCTGTAGAAAATGATTAGTTTTGCCTTTGGGAATCCCTTGGTAATCCCCTAGAAATCCTCATCGCTGTGATGCTCCGCCTTATTGGCCGTTTTTGGGCGCAGCGGCAGTTCGCCGGTTAATTTTGAAATGCTGATGTCGTCAATAGAGTTGAGATCAACTGGGGGAAGGGTATATATATCAAAATTATATTAATATACATATATTTTTTAATATATTATAAATCTACATTTTTTTAAATTTATTTACAAATATTTAAAATATAATAAAATATATAATTATTATATTTTAAATATTTTTTTGATGTATTTATTTAATTTATTTATATTTTAAATATTTTTTTTCATATAATTAGTTATATTTATTTTATAATTTTTTGTATATATATATTTATATTGTTTTTTATTTTTTATTTTTTTAAATCTATTTTTTAAATTTATTTTATATATTTTTTATATTTTTTTATATATTTTTTTAAATTCTTTTTTTTTTAATATTTTTTTATGATTATTTTGTAAACTTATTTTTATATATTTATTTTGTATATTATTTTTTATACATTTATTTATTATTTATTTTATTTTATTTATTTATTTTTAATAAAACTCACATTCATCATCGCCCGCTGCCAATGCCATGTTGCTCATCCCACTGATGCCACTTATGCCGCTGATGCCGCTCATCCCACTCATGCCCATGATCTCGCCCACATCCAGTTCGCTGTCGGAGCTGCCGAAGCTGCTGTCATCGTCCCGCGAGTTGAGCATGCTGCTGCCAGGACCATTGCGTCCATTTCGGCCAGTACCGGCAGCTCCTCCGCCAGCTTCTGCTCCTCCTCCTCCTCCTGCTCCTCCTGCTCCCCTCCTAGAGGCCCTGGCTGCCCGGGCATCTTCAGTTCCAGCTGGTGTCCTGCCTAAGAAAAAAAATATTTAAATATTTAAAAATATATTTTTAAAAGGAAAAGCCTCATTTTTCCTACCTCCAGCTGCTCCCTTCCTGCTCCTGCCCGTTGTGGGTCTTATCCTGGAGGTGGCCGTGCCAGGACGCTTGCCCTGAGCCACTCCATTCTGCTGCAGCAGCAGCAACTTGTCCTCATCTCGGATATCAGGGATTTCCGAATCCAAACCAAAGACACTGCGTCCATTGACCACCATGTCCAGGCGACTGGAGACATCCTCAACACCACCAAGGCCGCCGCCACCACCAACACCACCCACCTCATCCTCCTCATCATCCAGATCATCATCATCGCCATCGTCCCCATCGCCATCCTCATCATCATCGTCCTCGATGAGTCCCTCGGGTATAAATGGCATCGAACTCTCCGCTGGCTTCTGCAAAACCGGCGAGGCAATGGGCGTTGTCCTTTTAGTTCTCATTTCTAGCTGAGATCTCAGAGCATCGCGGACATGGAGACGCAGAAAATAACGCTGGAAAAGCTGCTGCAACTCCTTTTCACACTCCTCGAACTCGGCCATGTGAGCCGGTCGGATGCGATGCAGTGCCTCCAGTCGTTGACGTGTCCTCTCCAGCTCCGCCCGCCTTCGCTGAAGCTTGGACCCTAGAGCATTCAGCTCCACCTTGGCCGCCTCCAGTTGAGCCCGACTGGTTTGCAAACGCAACTGGCTGGCCTGAATGGCATTCTTCAAGGTTCGTTCAACACTAAGCAATTCCAAAGGTCGCTGGGCCTGGGCCAGACGCTGCTCCTTGTGCTGCAGCTCCTTGGAGAGGAGATCGTGTAGCGTGGCGCCGCGTTGGGTGAGATCTGTGGCCAGTTCGCGGGCACGACGCAGTTCCTCCATTTTATCACCAATATCCACGGGATTGAGACTACGATATTGATCCCGTTGGTGTTGCTCTTGGTCATCCTGGTCCCCGGAGGTTCCGGCTGGGTCCTCCACTTGGCCAGTGCCTGGTGCCGTCAGCAGGCGGGTGATTTTTTGCAGCTCTTGTGCTGTTACAGCAGCGGCAGCATAAAGCTTGCGGGGATTCAAGCGAATGGCTGCTTTGGTCACAAAAAATTCAGTGGCCGAGCGGATTAGGTGGATGCGCTGCTCCTCGGTGTCCACGCCGCCGGGCAGTGTGGAGCCGGGCTCCATGAGCCCGGATAGCCATTGGAGCAGCTCGGCCACGATGTGGAAACTGGCCAGGCTGCCGTGGGGATTGGCCAGAGCTTGGAGGGGGAAAATCCGTGGAAAGCCCAGCAATTTGAGCTGCTCGCCGAGATCTAGGGGGGAGAGATAGTTACTTGGGGTCTACTTAGGGGACTTCTTATCCCCCACTCACCTCGCACATCCTTGAAGGACATTCCTGGAACACTGGGCTGCTCAGCTGCTCGCCTGCAAATGCATTTTCCGCCGCCGTCATTTGTTGTGGTCGCTTGGCTTGGTCTTTGTTTGCGCCAACGGAGTCCAAGGGGAAGGTTGCCCCGGCAACGGCCAGTGCACTGAGACAAAACTTGGGTAAGGTGGTATTTTCTATAATTTAAGAAATTTAATTTTCAAATAAATAAATAAATTACAAAAAAAATATATAAATTATAATAATAAAAAAATAAACAAACAATAAATAAATAATTAAATAAACATTCAAAATTATTTTTTAATTAAAACAATTTACAAAATATAGTAAATATATTTAAAATAATAAATATCAATTATAAAATAACTTATAAAAAAGAGTTAAATAAATACTAAAAATACTATAAAAAATAGCTTTAAAACACCCCTAAAAATTTAAATTTGAAACAACATTATTTTTAAGTCGTATGATATACAACATTTTAGATTTTAATTATCTGCATTACGGATAGTGGTTCAAAACAAACCACCGAAAATGGGATCCACTCTTCGGACGCCGTTCCTTCGTTGGCCCTTCGGCCACAAGCTCAAAGAGAGTGCGGAGGACTCTCTCGCCGCTCTCCTGTTTATTTCACCGTCCTCTAGGATTCCGCCATTCTCTCCATTTCGCACGCGCAATTTGTTTCGATCGGTCGGGAAAAACGCGGCTCCTGTGAAAACGCAGGAAAATCGGTAGAAAACGGCGAAAAACGTTCAGAAAATCGGGAAAACGTCGTTAAGTCGTGAAAACTAGCCCTCCGGAGGGATCGGTAGCGGTTAATCGCGTGAAAATCCGTGTTAAAGTTGGAAAAAAAAAATCTGCGCTCGGGCTGCACATCCAATAAGTGCCGGTTATTGGTGTGCCAGTGCCAAAAAAGTGAAATATAATTGCGATTTACAAAGGAATTTACAAAATGCAGAGTGAGTACAGTCATACATTGCTTTTTTCCTATACCATTTAGTTTTTTATTTGGTTTCTCTCCGTTTTCGCGCATATTTGTCCTTTTTCTTATGCACCGTTATTCGGCACATGCACGCGCAGAGCAAAGCACAGGATATTTGTATATGTGTTGCGTCTCACACATATCCAAATATCATTTGCTCTGCTCTCCCGCTGTCGCTCTCGCTCTCTCTCTCTCTCGCTCTCAGTTCTTTGCTACCGCCTTGGCTTTTTCGTGTTAGGCTTTGTGTTTCTGATTCTTGCGCTTGCAACAAAATGTAGAAGCAAACGAAAGGAAACCTCTCTCACGGCAGCTAGATCCCAGAATACGATCCACATTTGTGGATTGGACGTTTCTGGCGCTCTTTGCTTTGATTTTCTGGCTGTAAAGTAAAACTGAAAATACATTTAACAGAGTAATTAATTTACAGATCTTTTTGACTCTTTCACTGAGTTGCAATTAAAATGGAATCTCGATCTACAGAAGAATTTACAAAATGCTTGCTTTTTTTCAATCGTGGTTAGTTTTTTGTTAGCTTTCTCTCCGTTTTCACGCATATTTCTCTTATGCACCGTTATTTGGCACATGCACACGCAGAGCAAAGCACAGGATGTTTGTGTATGTGTTGCGGCTCACACATATTCAAATATCATTTGCCCTGCTCTCGCTCTCGCTCTCAATTCTTTGCTGCCGCATCGGCTTTTTCGTGTTAGGCTTTGTGTTTCTGATTCTTGCTCTTGCAACAAAATGTAAAAGCAAACGAAAGGAATCCTCTCTCACGGCAGCTAGATCCCAGAATACGATCCACATTTGTGGATTGAAAGTTGCATGCGCAATCGAATTGGAAAATAAAAAACGCTGCGTTGCAAACTTCTGACTAAAATTATAAAAATACTCTGCGAGGGTATAAATATAAAAATATAAAAATATAAAAATTTATAAATATAATAATATTAATATATATAATTTATTTATATATAAATATTAATATATAATTTTAAATTTTAAAATTAAATTTAAAATTTGTAAACTCATTTTAAAATTCCTATAAATATTCTCTCAGTGTTCCCCTGCCAATTGTGACTAATTTCCCTTCGATTTGCTTTGGTCAGCCATACACACACACAGTTCACCTAGACAACGGTTGCGGGGCTGGTTTTTCCATCACTTTTCTTTCCCCACTTTTCGGAACATTCTGGAATGGGGCTGGATCTATGTTTTTGTTGTTGTTGTATTTATTTTCTTTAAGAGGTTTACAGGATACTGGCGAGCTAACCTGTTGCCTGCGTTGGTCATGTAATTAAAACTAGCCAAGTTTCGCTTGATTTTTCCTCTACTCCATTTTCTTGGCTGCTTTTGACAAGGCCTAGATTTTTATCTAATTTCCGCTGACAGATTTTCCTTGTGTGTCTGACATATTTTAATCTGCAAAAATCAATTAATCCAAGTTTCCGGCGATTAATTTGCTTTGGCGAAGCACAAATATTTAATTTTTTATTTTAAAAATCTAGAACTTTACTTTTATAACTTCTATTTATTTTATTTAAAATTGTATATATTTTTTTTGTTAATTTGAAGAATGAGCGAGGCTTAGCTTAGCTTTAAAAATGACTTTAAATTATTTTAAAATTAATTTAAAATGCCAAAACAAGCCCAAAGTTTAAAGTAGTTTTACCTTTAAAAAATTCTTCAAAAGTTAAGATTTAAAAATATATTTAAAATTATTCTGTAAGGCTTAGAAATATGCTGGGTAGGCCTGGGAATTGCCTTAAAGTGATCTCAGAAACTCTTTTGACATTTAGAAATTGTTTTTGTAAAAAAAAAGTCTTTTTTAAACAAAAAATTGAACAAAACAAATTTTAAAAAATCTTCCAAAGGGGAATAAATCTTCCCAAAAAATAAATTTTTCTAAAAAGAAAGCAAAAAACTCCTTAATTCCTTGAAAATGGCTCCAAGGAAACGCATTTCGCGGATTCCCCCACGTGCAGTGGTCCCGGCAGTGGAGACTATCGATGGATCTAGTCGCTCCATTGGCATCCAGACGGATCCCGAGCCCAACAATCAGTTTGTTGCCCCTCAACCGACCAAGCGCCAAAAGATTCTGGAGAAGATCAAGCAGCTGAACAAGTCCAAGCAACTGGATATGGCTTCCACGTCGCGCTCCTCCTCCTTTTCCTCATCGTCGTTTTCGCTACTCACAGCTATGGATCTGCATCCCAAGGCCTTTGTGCCCGGCGACAATGAGAAGGCCTGCCAGGTGAAGGAGTCGGAGTTGGACGCCAAGCCGTTTGGCCCCAGATCGGACTTTGCCATCAAAATGAAACGACTGAAGACCGAGGTGGACCGTCGACGTACAGAGTCCATTATCTGGGACATTGAACGTTTGGCCACTTTGGATGATCAGATTAACCACGATCCGCCGCCACGCTGGTCAGCCGCCAGTGAGATGTGGCTGGAAGTGGATAAGCTGGAGACACGTATTGAGTCCTTTTCCCAGGAGGCGGAGCGCATGTGTACCTCCCTCAAGAGTAACATTAACTAAGCGAGGGTAAAAGCAATGTAAACTTGATCAAAGGTGTACAAAAAAAATACATTTCGTATGCCGAACAGCTTGAGTTTATTAATTATATAAAATTATTTATAAATAAATAAATTAAAAATTTTTTTTTACTATTATTTCAATGAATTAATTTAATTATTTATTGTTTTTTTTTATGTTTATTAATAATTTTTTAAGAAATATGTTTATATATAGTTTTTTGTATATTTATTTTATATTAATTATTTTTTTTATAAAATTATGTATGTATTATTCAATGAATTAATTTAATTATTAATTGTTTATTAATTATTTTTTTTAGAAATATTTTTTATTATATTAAGTATTAATTTTTTTTTTTTTAATAATTTATTTATTTTTTATTCAACTAATTCATTTAATTATTAAATTTTTTTATAAAGAAATAAGTTTCTATATTTTTTTTTTATATATGGTATATATATTTTTTTGTATTATTTATATTTTTTTTTATTATTTTATATAATTATTTATATATTCAATCGTTTTAATTATTAATGGTTTTTTTAAATTATTTTTTTTAAAAATATGTTTAAATATTATTTTGTTTTATATATTTCTTTTATAATATTAATTATTAAGTATTTTATAATTTTTTTATTCACTTATATTAATGGAGTTTCTTATTTTTTAATTCTTTAACTAGTTTTTAAAATAATTTCTAATTTATTAAATAATTTATATTCATTTTTTAAGTATTAGTTAGCTCTTAAAGATTTACATATATTATTATTTTCTATATATTTTCCCTGGGTTTATTCAATTTTCCCAGCAAGCTCTCTCTCTCTCACTCAAGAAGAGCATATAAATTCCCAGATAAAAGGCCTTGATTTATGGGCAAAGGCATACGATTCGTAAGGATATTCTTCCTAGGGTCCTCCTCTGGCTTTTAATTGCAATTCAAGTGGTGTGAATCGCTTGTTACCATATGAATGCCCCTGACTCGCGGCGATGACAGCCACTCACATGGGATCCTTGGGTACTGGCCAGGCACTTGGTGTGTGTGCTTGGCCTCTGGTCCTGGGTCCTTGGTCCTTGGTCCTTGGTCCTTAGTCCCTGGTCCTGGGTACTCTTCAGAGCTGCCTTGGCCCCATGCTTAATCAGTTGACAGGCAACTCGTTGCCTGCTGAGCCACGCCCCTATAGCCACACCCACACTTACTCCCACTACCCCCCTCCCCCCCCCCATTTCCATTTCCATTCACATGGCCGGGCACATCTTGCCGGGCTTTTGGCCATGCGTGAGTCTTTGTGCATATTTAAGCAGCAAGGTGGCGGCGAGTCCTCGGGTAGCACAAGGATGTGCCGGATCCCATGCCCGAACCTCAGCCATCCATGTCAGTTGGCCTGCATTTGACGAATTTTCACGCGTCACGCATTTGCAGTGACCTCAAGGCTCAAAGGCTTCCTTCCTTCGCACAGCCCATCATCACATGTCACGGTCGCCCAGGCCCTTGTTTACACCGTCATATAATTAGCTTTATAAATTGGAAATTGGTATTAGGTGAGTGGGTGATTTTGTGGAGATTTTAGTGTGGGTTTTTAATGTAATATTTAATGTTAATTTAGTTTTAAGAATTTTATTTGGATTTTAAGTATTAAAAATATTTATAAATTATAATTATTATTCTATAAATATAAAAAAATAAAGATAGAGTATATAAAGTAATAATTATTATTTATAAATTAATAACAAATATATAATTATTTAAATAATATAATTTAATTTAGTATTAAATAATTCAAATGATAAAATAATTATATAGTTACTCAATTTCTTTATTTTTCCAGTAAAGAAAATATTTACTCAAGCATAAAATTTATAAAAATTATTAAATATATTATATTTATTTTTAAAATAGTTTAATTTTATTTTTAAATAAAACTTAAAGCAAAATATTTAATCTTAACCTCCTATTTCTATGTGAATTGCAATTAAAAAAAAAAATTTTAATTTCTGTTTAGGCACTTAATTAATTATTATTATTATTTATATATATATATATTTTTGTATTTAATTCTCAATTTTTGTGGCATAAACCTGCGGCTGCGGGTGTGTGTGTGAATGATATGCGAAGGAGGTTGGCTAGACTCGTAACCCCCTCACCTCCGTTTCGGGGTAGCCTGCGTGATGTTTTGGTGTTTGTACAGCGGGGGACTGAGGGGTTGAGGGGCTATGGGGGCGCCGGCGTCGCCAACACCAACGCCTGGCAGATGCGAAGGCATCTTAGTTGGTTCTATCAACTCCATTGGCCTCGTCATTTGGTGGCCGGCGTCGGCTTGCATGTACTTATGTCAACATGTGCATATATTTGCATTGCCCCCGGGGTGTCGTCGCACTGTCCGACTGCGCTTTTCCCGCATTTTCCGAATCGTGATGCTCAACTGGGGTTTTTCCAGATGAAGCTGGGTGTTGAAAATATTTATGTATAAATTTTAATATTAAATGAGTGAAGTTTTCCTATAAATTTTGATATATACCTAATTTATCGATATTAAAACCATATTAATCGATATTATATTTAAATATTGATTTATGTTATAATTTAATTATAATTAGAATTTCTTAATTAATATAGCAAATATCCTTAATAAATTTTTAATTTTTATTGTTTGATATAAATATAAGGAGGTGATGAAAAGCTTAGTTTTAAATATATATTATCGATAAATAAATAACACAATTAAAAAATATATTTTTGAATATAAACAAATTTTTTTTTATTATTTTAAGTATTGATAAATTACTAAATTCGATTTGAATCGATATGCATACATCCAAAATATTTTAATCGATATTTTTATCGTTTAATATCGATATTTTTTTTAATAAATCCAAAATTATCAAGGATTTTGTTTAAAAGAAATATTAAAAAAAATACAAATAAATGAAATAATATTTATATGATATATTTTATAGATAAAATCGATATAATTATAATTAAATTCGATATTTTTCGATATTTAAAATTTCCAGAAATTAAAGATTAAAATATTGTTGATACAATATTGATATACTTATCATATAATATCAAAAGCACTTCGATATGCATCCCTAGGCAGCACTGAGATGCGTGAGGCGTGGCAGATGTGTGTTTTTGGGAAGTGTGTGTGTGTGCGTGTTGTGCGAAAGTGGGTTTTGTGGGCGATGGCGTTGTCCCACTTGCAATGCGCTAAACATCCGCTGACGTTCTTCCGTAGCCAGAGCCAATCTGCATCAGACTACAAACAGGCATTGAGTCACGCATACCGGCACAAAGGGGTTAAGCGGGGGCCCCCAAAAGGGGGTTAAGTTGGTGCAACAGCAAAACAATGAATGAAACTGGAAAGGTTATTTGCATTAACCTCGGAGATCAACAGATTTAATTTTGAAATAATAAACATTATACTCCCTTCCTCATTAATTTGTTTAAATCATTTAAAATTGAGGTAAATATTAAATATTTACACACACTTGCCTTAAAATGTTTATTCACTTTCCCGCACAGATACACAGCTGAATGGAATTCATTTGGTTTGTTTTTGGTGAAATATTCGCAGTAAATGGCCATGTGTTTAGCATGATAACACATTTCGAATGGCCTTGCTTATTTAATTTAATTTAATTTGAATGCCAGCCAGTAGTCAGCGGTGGGTTAGCACGAATGTCCTGTCATTAGCAGGCGCTCTTGATCCTCCTTTGTGGTTTTTCCTGGTGGGGGGAGGTAATCCATTGTGCGTGTGTGTGTGTGGGGGGGGGAAATTGTTGTTGTTTTTAGTCGCATCCATGTTTATTGTCAAATCAATGCTGCATAAATAAATATTTCGCGTTAGCATGTGCCAAGCTCGCTCTCTTTCTCTGTTATTTAATTTTTTTTTTGTTTTAGGCCTCGAATTGTGTAAAACGGCCTATAAATTAGGTTTTCTGAGCGACTACAATTGGTAATTAGGTCTAAGTACTAGCTGGTTAAAATATAACGGGGGCTTTAGGCTGTCTTTGTGATATAGAAATTATCGAAAATTTTAAAATACTAGAGTATTTAAATATAAATTAAATATAAATATATCGAAATTATCGAAAATTTTAAAATACTAAAGTGTTTAAATATAAATTGAATATAAATATATCGAAATTATCGAATATTTAAAAATACTGAAGTATTTAAATATAAATGAAATATAAATATAACCAAATTATGGAAAATTTAACAATCCTAAAGTTATTTTAAATATAACGGAGCTTTAAACTGTCTTTGTGATATCAAAATTATAGAAAATTTATCGATAAAGATTGTTTTAGTAATTATGATACCTAGCTTTAAATTTGTAATAAGGCAAAAATATTTTATAAATATTAAATATTAAAAATAATTTATTTTGGAACTTTATATTTTATAAATTTCACAGATACATAAATAATTTGACATAAACATCAAGGCAATACTATTTTGAGCTTGTTTTAAATATTTACTTTATTATTTTGATTTTTTTTCTATATATTTTAAAAAATATATATACCATATGTAGCTATTTTTTTTGTTGTATTTTTTGTATGTATTTTTATATTCTACAATTTTTCGATTTATTTTCTAAATCTGTCTATTCAGCGTAAAATATTTATAGCTTTTTCAGTTGCCCTTTTTTATATATATATTTTTTTGGGCTTAACTGTTTCGATTGCCAACGAGACAGAAAGAGAGAGGGTTGAGTTTTTCGTTTACAAAACGATTTGCATTGGTAATGAATAATAAAACTAAAACTAAACCCTCAAATTCCGCATTTCCCTCTGTATCGATGGCAATTTGTCAAAAAGCAAAAACTGAATTTTATGGCAAAAAACTGGAATTGTAAATATATATAAATATATATATATATGTGTGTAAATATTTAAATATGGTTCAGACTTTGTTTTAAAATATTTATTAAAATATTTCTGTACTTAAATTTCTTTATTTTAATTTCCTGAAATTATAAACAACATTTTATTGAAGTATATTTCTATCTTTTTTTAAAATTACTTTTTTTTTTGGCTTAAATTTCCCTAA